GTATCTCACTTGAAAACAGCCTCCTTCTATGTTTTTTGGTGTGAGGAATCTGAATTTGAGTTAGCTCTAGTTTCAAAGATATAGTTACTTTTTGAGTAATATGGAGAAATTTTCTGTTCCTGGGGGATGGTAGGATTGAATTCTGTCTGTGAATTGCAGGAGATGACTAGCTGAATAGAACCATTTTGCTGAAAGTTGTATGCAGTGGTTACATTTCAAGTTACTCTTGACATGATTTTTCTTGCTTCAGGCAATCTTTCGATGATTTTATCGTGATAACCTAGTAATTTTGGTGAAATTACAAATCCCAGGAAGTGTGTGAATACTCCTGACAACTTTTCTTACATTTGTGGGGAAGTAAACTTTGCAAATCAAAAACGTCCTATTATCTAGATGATCAAGAAAGCATACCAAAAGTATTTTAGGGTGAAAGTTGGTGACTAAAATAAATCGTAGCCTCCCGCACATCTGCTGCCTCACATGTAGCATAACCTTAAGAGAATGGTTGAAGACGAAAGGTTGTTCTTCAATGGGTTTTGCTGTTCCCATGGTGTGGAGGGAGTCTACCAATCACACTGACAACTGATACTTCAGTATAACCCATCCTCATCATCATGAAATGTCTCAAAAAAAGAAATCTGAAGTGAAGTATCCTGATATTCCTTCTGCTATACAACCAATACTACATTGGGACGAAATGTATGTTCCATGACCTCCTGAACACTGAGGATGAGGATAATGAAGAGAAAAATCCCATAGAAAGAACCCCATCAGATGATCCTGATTTTTGTTTTGAACAAGAAGAACAAAAACCCCACATGCTTACTCAAGCTGAACTCAGTGACTTGATTCGGAGCCTGGATCTGCCATAAGAGAAAGCAGAACTTTTGGGTTCAAGATTTGAGCAATTGAACTTCTTACAACCTGATGTAAAGACTACAATGTACAGGGGTCGTACAATGCACAGACAGACTTGATCCCCTTTTTCAAAAAATATAACAACCTTGTTGCCTGTTGAGATGTCACAGATCTGATGACAGCATTAAATCTCAATCAAAACCCTTCTGAATGGAGGCTGTACATAGATTCATCAAAGCTATCTTTCAAGGCAATTCTGTTGCACAATGGAAATTTACTTCTCTCTATTCCTATTGGACATCATGCTGTTCATGAAGGAAACTTACCAAAACATGGAAACCCTTCTAAAATCCATCAAATACCAGGACTACCAATGGCAAATCTGTGGGGACCTGAAAGTGGTGGCAATTGTTCTAGGTATGCAACAGGGATATACTAAGTACTGTTGTTTCTTATGTGAGTGGGACAGGCGGGACAGAACATTTCATTACATCAGGAAAGAATGGTCTCAAAGAATGGTCCCTGGACAAAAAAATGTTCTCTACAACCCTCTTGTGAACCCCGAAAAGATCATTTTCCACTACATATAAAGTTAGGGCTCATGAAAAATGTCAAAGGAATGGACCAATCAGAGGGATTCAAGTACTTAGAGGAAAATTTCTTCGCTTAAGTAAAGCTAAGGTTAAAGAGGGTCTATTTGTTGATTCACAAATTCGTGAGAATTTTTACATATTCTTCAGGGTAAAGAAAGAGCAGCGTGAGAAGCATTTCAGAGTGAGAACTTCAGTTGATGGTTTATTGGGTAACAAAAGAGAGAAAAATTATGCTGTCCAAACTCTCCTTGATAAGTACAAAGATCTCGGTTGTAACATGTCACTCAAGATTCACTTTCTTCACTCTAATTTGGACTTCTCTCCTGAAAATTGTGGATCTGTAAGTGACAAACATGGTGAGCAATTTCACCAAGAAATATCCTCGATGGAACGAATATATCTAGGTCGGTGGGATACTTCCATGTTCGCAGACTAATGTTGCATCGTTGTGAGGGATTTGCCACATCAGTACAATTGTCAAGCTAAGAAGAAACGGTCCAAATAAACTGTTCAACAGTGCTGTTCTTGCTGAGAGAAGTTGTAAAAGTATTTCACAAATAATACAGCACTTTTAAAGCCTAAAAAATGATCATGTAAATTCCAATAACTTAATTATTTGTATTTGATACTGGGTATACGTATCTGCAGTATGGTAGCTAATATAAGGATTCTGACAGAAAATTTGAATTTCTCACACCAAAATTAGTCAAGAGAAACAGTTTACATCGAAGATACACGAAAACATTTTTTTTTTTTTTTGTAGGGCAGTAATTAGACATGACTTTTATATTAATGTACAGATAGGTTTGAGGTATGTTTACCAAAATAAATACAAAAAATTGCCCAATGCCGACTAATATTACCTGCAAAATATATAATTTCTCATAACTTTTTGATCACCTTGTATATGTGTGTTCCTCCAAGAACAAAGTGACAATTTTTCTTTTTTTTAGATTTGAGACTAGTTACATGTTACCCCATGATAATTCTTGAAAAGACAATCTGACATTTTCTTTGCCATTCATCATTTTATTTCGAAATCGTAACTGATTAAGCGTTTTGAATAAAATTAGTTAATAACGCATTTTACAATTTTATCCACTGAACCTTTATTTTGAGTAATAACACATTAATAACTACATTAACAGCTTTGAAGATTCTTCATCTACTTACAAGTTTCAGGAATTTTGAAACCTCCAGACTTCCAAAAAAAACAATCTCTATTTATTCATATATTATTTTTCAACATTCCCGACAAGATCGTCTATATTCAAGAAAAAAATTTCCTACAACATATACACTGCCAGTTAAACGTTTAAAACCACCTGTTATTTTTATTAATTAAGATAATTTAATCATTTAAAACTTTAATAATATGTAATAGCATAAGTACACTACAGACATTAAGTACAATACAGTAACTTGTATCTATTTATAGTATTAATTAGTTGTATTATAAGTACTTAATGTTTCATTATTAGTGATATTTTTTTGGTCCTCTCCTTCCTCACCTTTAACACTATACAGGGTTTTCCCGGGCCAGGAGGTGAGAGCGGGAATTAATGGCCGAGTTAAAAGACTCCCCTGGTATCGGAAAGCGAACTCATGACTTATTTTTATCTATTAACCTTATTTATCAGGTTGACGGGCAACGGCAGGGCTGTGCATACACTTAGCCTGTTCGGCCACGCCAAACCTCATTATTAGTGATTATCACAACATTCTAATAATAATATGTTTGGAGAGTTAGGTTTTTTCTTCTGCAGTTTAATTAACTGTTCTCTCAAATCAACAATTTTTAAGTTTTTCAATTCTAGGCGTTATTTTTCTCTAAAAAATGGGTGAAAGAAATAGTTTTTCATTGAACAGCATAGAGCTATTTAAACACTATACAAGTAAAAGAAATCTGAGACCCAAATTGTTGTTGTTCTTCTTCTTTGGCACTAAAAGTACTGAAAAGCATAGAACTATTTATACACTATACAAGTAAAAGAAATCTGGAACCGAATTGTTGTTGTTCATCTTCTTTAGTACTACAATCCATGTGGGGTCAAGGCCTCCTGTAACAGCAGTCGCCAGTCATTTTTACAGCCGATTACCAATTCCGTATTAGTATTGGTAAGATTTCACATCAGTCACTATATCATCAGCCCAACGCAATTTGGGTCTTCCAATCGGCCTTCTTCGGAATAACTGTTCAGTGAGAAGCTTCTTTGGAATTTGGCTATCAGGACTAACAATCCAAATTGTTACACAACTAAAAAATAACAAAATTCACAGAGAAAATAAAGATTAGCTGCCTAACAGATTTAAACTAAAGTCAGTACCATGATTTTCTATAGTAGAATAAAAACTTATTGGGATGTGCCATAACAATAAAACCAGTTTTACCATCTGCTAAGAAGAAATATCAGTACGAACTTGCTCATAAAGATTTAAAAGTGGAAAGCTGGAGAAAAGTACTTAGGACAGAGAAATGTAATTTTAGATGTTAGGGCCTAATTACCAAATTGTGGGTTTGGCACTCAACCAGAAGAAAATGACTGCGATCTAATTTTAACAATAATAAATAACACTACTAATAAGGCCCATGTGAATAATTCAAATGGTATGATGGTCAGTGAACTAACAACAAAGTTTTTTATTTTAGAACTACTTTTATTGTCAGTTTTACTTATCCTTCCATAATATTGATTTAGTTTTTTTTATAGATCAACAATGATTAAATTTCTAGAATGATATATGTTTTTTTTTAATTGAAGGTTTTACTATTCCTTAAGCATTGCGAAAAAATAGTGTGGTGTCCGATAAAGAAGTGGTAAGGATTAAAATTATCTATCTTAACATTTTTTTCTTCCAAGTAATGGAAAATTAATAATTTTTTAAAATTTTTTATTTGAACTCTGGTTGTCTCCTCTGAGCTGAGGTAAGTTTGTCACTAATAATTTTGGTAACACGGTAGCCAAACATGGACGTTAGCTACAAATTATGAAAAAGACCTTCTGGTTTCTGAAAGGAAAATCCTTAAAAGAATATTTGGACTGGATTAGAGAATTCGGAAAAATAGAGAGGTCTACTAATTGTTCAATGAGCCTAATGTGGCCAGAATAATAAAGTTAGGAAGGCTGAGTTGGGCAGGACACATAGCTCAGATGAAGAGGTCTGATATCCTGAAAAGAGTGCTTCAGGAGCCATTAGAATATACGAGGAGAGCTAGCAGATCGAAATTGAGATGGGCAGATGGTGTGGCAGCTAACGCTAGAGACCTGTTGGGAATCAGAAACTGTAAAGTGGCCACACTAAGTAGAGAAATTTGGCAGAAGCTCATTTTTTTGCTACAGTTGACAGTTTTTGAGATATTTTGTAAAAACTAAATAGATGAATTTTATCAAGTTTCTCCACAAGTTCATTTGATTTTCAGTATGACTTTTGATATTACCTTCACTACACATCACTGAAAAAGCGTGAAACAGAGTAAAAACATAGAGTTAATTTTAATACAATCTATACGATGACTGGATTATATGAATTTAGAGATTAGGTAATAAATTACATTATTTGGACTTCAAAAAATTTGTACTTAGATAAGTAATTACCTGAAGGGCAAACAGATAGCTCCAGATCCCTTGCAGGTTTGTTTCTACCAGTCATTTTTGAAGCAATTCGATGTGGAACGTTTGGTACTGCCTAAAATAAAAAAAAGATCATAAGGGAAATGCATAATAAATTTTTATTAATATGGATTTTTTTAATTTTCAGAACTTTCGTATATTACTTGGCACTTTCAACTCATAAATAATTTTCATTATTACGGGATCAGGGTAGATGAGCAGGCTAACACATACACAAAAAATGCATTGCCTGGCAACCTGATAAACTGAAGCTTATGAGTTTGAGTCTTATTCAGGTGGCTTTTAACTCTGGCATTAATATCCTGGTTAGGAAAAAACCATAAAGCCAAAAAGACAAGGTAAGGGAAGAAAAATTATTTTTTTTTTTATTATGAAGAATTGTATCACAGATTCAATAATAGCAATAAATATAAAGATTAAATACCTGTTATTATAATCTTAACCCAATGAACATTAATTAATAAGATACATAAGCTAATTAAATTTAATATTTAATTACAAAACTATTAATAATAAATTTATAGAAATAGTAAAAAGAATTTTATGATGGAAGTTAAGTATTTAAATTTTAAAACCAAGACATTAAGTTAAATTTCAAAACCCTTTTATATTACTAGGCATTTTTATTCTCTTACCATTATACTAAATTGTTAATAATTATCCTCAAGTGATTCAAACAGAAACCTTATTTAAATTTTAATGGATTTTTTATTTGTTTAGCAGTCATATTGTTTATAATTATGATAAGACAATACAATAAACACTATTCATTTCTTGATTTTTTTTTTTTTTTTTGGCTAATGCTTAACAAACAACATAATATGGAAATTATCTTCTATGTTAAAAGGCTCCTATATAAATATAATAGTTGGGAAAAAATTAAAAGAAAAACTTTTCAAGTAGAAATTATTTACTTATCAATATATGAAAAAAAATATATGTGAAATTAAAATAAATGACAAAATAATATGAAACACAGGACAGAGAAATAATAAAAATGTTAACTTACCCCCTCTTCATCAGCTTCTAGCTCATTAAAGGCATGAGATGGATTGCTAACTTTCTGTAACAAGTCTAATGCAATCCTCTTATTCATTTCAATACATAAAAATGGATGCTGTAAAACAAATAAATAAATATTAATATAGAACTACCATAATGATGAATAATATATATGTATATATGATATGATATATATACACAATAATTATTAATCAAATAAATAATAATATATGCATTAAAATAGATGAAAGTGTGTAGCATGGTATCTACTAATTTTGATAATTAAAATTCTCTAATTTTTCATGACTATTTTTGATAACATTTCAAAATTATTAATGTTTTATCTATGCAACAACAAATTTAATGCTTGAACCTAATTATTAATATTTTATTAATGCAACAACAAATTTAATACTTGAACCTAATTATATTTCATCTATCAGACAATGTTATATTTTCTGAAACATTTAGATTTAAAAATAATAAATATGTATTCCATAAAGCTTAGAATTAAAATTTTAATATCATTCATTACACTGGACAAGAAAAGTATTACTTCCATGAAAATTATTGATAAACTACTTAAGCCAGTTACAATCTTATTAAGTAATATATTACTACAATTTTCCTTACCAGCAACAGCTTTTCTGCAGTAGGCCGTTTTTTAGGATTCTTAGTTAAAGCAGTCTTAATGAAATTGTGAAATACCTGACTCCTAAAATAAACATTTTTTTTAAAAAACAAAATATAACTTTCAAATAATCATCTTTCGTTTAGGTTAATCAAAGGCTTTTCAGAATTTAATAACTAGTTCCATCTGCTAGCAAATGATGGATTTAATCCATTAATCAAGAAAAAATTTCTTCAACAACACTTGATGGCCAATGGCCGAGCAGGTTGGGATATGTGTCCCATAATGTTCAATTCTGAACATTGTGGGTTTGATTCCCAACAGAGGAGGGTTAATATATATTTCTCGGTGGCCCATTGAAATGAATCTTGGATGCTCCCAATCTGATAAGTACGTGACGGCAACTTTGAGGTAGCTGTCAGAGGTTTGCAAAAAGGACCATGAATGATAAAATAACATAATCACTGAAGTGATACTTGAAAAGAGCTGCGTTATACATACACCATTATTCTACCATCCACTGCTGCTGTTTGTGTAATTGTGAAGAAAATGAAAAAAAGGATCAAAAGACAAAAAGTTATTGTAGAGAAGGTGAAAATGTTAATAAATAATAAAAATATGATTTAAAAAAAAGTAATGACTGAAACAAGCAATATAATTAATTGAGAGCATGGTAAAGTCCATTTAAAATAAGACTGTTTTCCATTCCGATTGTCTTTTACCTGATTATGATGAACACTAAACTCGATTTTTTTTTTCAAATTTGGTATTATTTAACTTCTAACCAAGATATTGGACACTTTATGGACTATATCAGTGATCTCCAAACTACGGCCCACAAACACCATCAATCTGGCCAACGAAAGTTTCTTTAATTATATGATCACATTTTAAAAACTATCAAATTTAATAAATTACTTAAAAGTAAGGTTACTATAACATTAATTGCATGAGTTTTTCCTCACACAGAAAGTTCATTTCACAATGAAGTGTTAAAAGAGGCTTCACAGATGACCAGGCTGTTATAGTACGTGACAAGAGTGTTGCTGGAAAAATGACCCAACAACTCCCTCATCATAACACGTCGGCACCATACGGTGAAGTTCGAGGTGATGAGGCTCCTTAGAGAAAAGGTATTCATCTGCTATGACAAGGTATTTTGCATAAGTAGTTAAGGCTCTCCAAGATATGCGGATATTGCTGTTTCCTAAGAAAGGGCGGTCAGCGCTGATCTTGGATCCAACTGTGCCCTTTGAGAACAATGACCTTGATTGGACGGGTGAAGTGGATGGGGACAAGAAGAACATATATGACAAATACATCCCTTTCCTCCAAGAGAGAAAGATTGCTGTAAGAAGTGTCTCGCAGAACGATTCCAAAAAGAACAAGGAGCTTCCTTGAGGAACTAGCTGCTGATGTTGGGGAGCTTGCGATATTGGCCGAGAATATTATTCTGAATTCCTTGGGGGGCAATCCACTATCATTTATATAGTAATTGACGATGTTTTTTTATTAATTATTTATTCAATTTTAATGTTTTTAACATTGTCTTATCTTTTTATCTATATTCATCAAATTATTTTGGTATATATGTGTGCAATTTAGTATTGAATTCCAAGCATTCGAATTTTTTTTATTTTTAAGGAAATATATATGTTATGCAATGTTAATAGCTTAATATAGTTTAGTAGTAATAATTTATAGGATTTTACTAAGAACTAGTGTTATGAAAAGGGAGGAAAAAAAGATATATATATAATAATAGAATAATGTAATGTAATAGTTATGTCCATATGGATTGATTAGTATGCTGTGTATAAAGCAACCCTATGTAGTAAGGCAGCATAACAAATAGAATGTGAATTTGTTACAGTGTATGAAATTAATAGTGTTTGTCTTACAGATGGCTTACTAGCCGAAACGTAGCCGATGTAGATGTAAAAGTGAAATAAATGTGGTGAAGCAAAAACACAGCTTTATTTTATATTATTGTCCAGTATATTTGCCCACTTGCTTCTATATGCAGAGAAAACCATAAAGAACTACCAATGTAGCTTCATGAGAGGTAAATCAATGACTTATTAGATCTTCACACTAAGATTATTTCTTGTGTATAAAGCAACCCTATGTAGTAGGGCAGCATAACTTTCAATAAAGTATTAATATTAGTTTAATAATTGATTTAAAATATAATAGTGCATATATAAGAAATCATAAATAAGTCCGAAGTGTAAGTCATTATTATAACTGTAATAAATAATAAAACTGATGACTATATTATCTATAATAAAATAATCTTTACCATTTATCTTTATCTTTAAGAGTTGGAGGTTTGAAACCACTCTTTGACATTAAAAACAATGCTCTCATAGGATGAAGATCGAACATAGGTGGCTGTAGTTCTGCTAATTCGATAGCAGTAATGCCAACAGCCCAAATATCGCAAAGCTGGTTATAGCCACCTTTTCTCTCTACAGCTGCAACCTGTGGTAAAAATGAATAATTATACTAAAATGATTGGAATAATAATGATCATTATCATTAAATAAGTTGGTTCAATGTTGAAAATATCAACTAATTGTTTGAACAACAGCTTTATTAAAACTCACAATGCTTCACATCATAATATTCAACAGTAGAATGATATCAGACATTAAACCCTTTAATTCTAGGATTTGGAGTAAAAAAATTTTTGTTTCTACTATATTTAATAACTGGATTTAAAGTGTGGCTACACATGTTATTAGGCAAACGAACAAAAGTTATAACAAAAACATTATTATCGCCCTATAACTATGCCATTTATGGGTACTGAGGAATAAATAGATTTACAAAGAGAAATGTAATGTCCAGATGTTTCATTTCAAGGCATTTTTCATTAATGTTGGCCATTTATTTACAAATGACGATTGATTTTCAACATTAGTTTCAACAAATTGAATAGATTGACTTTACCAGTATTTTTATTGCCTAAACCAATTATTTTTCCATGTTTTATTATTCTCTGATTATTAAATTTCAATGAAATGGTAATTATGAAGAAATTAAACCAAATGCTAAATCTCAGTGACTGAAAAACTAACTTAAGTCAAAGTCGTCAATCCGCTATGTTGGATGCCATTTTGGGGCAATGCGTTCACTTTTTTTTGTGTGACCATTGAATTTTTTAAATAAATAGTTGCAAGGAACACAACAATATGCAATTTATAGAGATGTACGGGGAGTGAACGGTAGGGTGGACTAGTCCATCCTTTGCCAATACTGAGGGTGAAGATACCAAGACCTACAGGTACAAAGTGGATGAAAACATGAATCTATATTAAGTTGGGAGTATAATATTAAGAAGTTATTGAGAACAGTGATAACAATGAGGTTTATAATTGTATGTATTTAATGAAACAAAATAGAATACAATTACCATAAGACTTTCATTATCTGTAAAATACAATATTAAATTTTTAAGTGACATGATTTTTTTTCAACTGTATTTAATAAATATATTTAAAGTGTGGCCACACATATTTTTAGACAAACGAACAAAAGTTGTGGGTCAAGAATATGATAAGAAAACTTTTTCTGAAAATGATAATATTTTACAAACATTTTTAAAATGGCTGTAATTGTAGACTGATCCAAGATTAATTTGCATATGCATGTACATTCTAATAGGGAATTTAAATCTCTACTTCTTTTAAATTAATTTCTTTCTCAGATGAATATCTTAGAAGATAAGAAGGAATGTTTGATGAAAATGTGACGCAAAATGATGTTTTTTTCTTGAAAATTAAAATTTTTTCTGAGCTTGTAGCTTGAAAATGGTTCAGAATTTGGATAAAACCTATAGAATAAAAGTTTTTGATAATTTTACAAACTTTAATTTATTATACAAAAACTTTCTCCATTTTATTATAAGTGAAAAACAAAAATTGTGACCTTTTCTCTTTCCCATCCTGGCTCACCACCTAGACGTCAGGACTTTTGATATGTTTATACCCTAAGCAATCTGAACAAGTTTCTGAAGAAATTGCTTAGGTCCCTACTCATGCACTCTATACTTCCTTTATTGACTGGACTAGAGGTAACAGATTGAAAAAACAAGGCAAATAATGATATGAAAGAAATGTACTATAGCTGCTCAGAAAGAATGTAAAAAGTCAGAAGAATGGAAAAGAAAGTGCATAAAGATAAAAAGAAAATATATGACGTAGCAGCTCCAAAGTATAAAAAAATATAAAAGTAAAAAGCCAGGACAAGTATAGAAACGTATATAAAACATGAGACAGGAATTCCAGCCAATATCTATTACCTGTAAAAGTGGAAACCTCCTTAATGACACAGCAGGTGTAATTAAAAGATGGACTGAGCACTTTGGTGAACTCTTGGGTACGAACGAGGAGTATATAATACAAGAGATAGAAGCGACAATCAGGAGAATATTTTAAGAGTGCAAGTAAGGTCTTTGTGAAGAAATTAACCCGTCTCATGGAATGGATTTGGATAGAGGCAGAAATGCTAATACATAAGAAAGGTGAGCCATTTGTATGTAAAACAGCATACAAAATATTCATGTGTGTTTATATATTTTAGGTGAAGTATTTATAATAATATAAAATAAAGCTGTGTTTTTACTTCACCACATTTATTTCACTTTTACATCTACATCGGCTACTTTTCGGCTAGTAAGCAATTTTCAAATCATCTGTAAGACAAACTATTAATTTCATACACTGTAGCAAATTCACATTCTTCATAATGGTGTTAGTCATGTTTAATTTAATATTTTATGAATTAACCGTATTTTATTATATGTTATTTAAATCATTAAAAGAAAGAGAATTTGATTATATCTTTTTAAATACTTTGAAATATTAATAAAACAAATTCAACCTTGAATCAGTACTATGTCTATTGGACATAGCGATTTTATAATGTTTGAAGAAATTTTAACTGAAAGTGTAATTCCGTTAATTTTTTCTCTTTAATATTTCCATAACCATTGATTTTATCAAGGAAATGTATTGAACAATTTTTATTGAGATTTCGAAGTACTTTAATTTTGTATAAAAAAAAAAAAAATTTGTATAGCCTGCAGATGGTTGGAACTAGCCAGAGACCCCTTCTCTGGTAAGTAGTGGAATCTACCAATGATGGCCAGCACCCTAGGGAGAGGAAGCGAATGTGACAACAAGGGTTGGTCAGGTGGCTCCCCGTGCCGCAGGCAGGAAACGCCTCTCCGGTCGGCTTGGCACTGATGAGGTAGGCTAGAGTCTGGCAACTCGCCCACGAGCCTGTCAGGAGGCAGCCCCTCTACCTGACTAGGAGGGCGAGGGCTGATAACCCTCCCCTCTGAAACTTCTTCATCCCGAGATTTCAACGAGAAATAGCCGGCAGATCATATGATAACAGACACGGAAACCGTCAAATGGACTTCAGACAAGGAATGTGGAACATTTTAACTTTATATAGACCGGGTAGGTTCAAGTCCTCCTTTCAGAACTGGACAAATACAGACTTGACATTACCACTTGTGACCAGAAAATAGGAGAATTGGTGAGAGACAGGCTAAGAGTAGCTGATGTCGAAAGTGTACAGGATGTCTGGGACCAACTGGAAAAGGCTTTGGAAGGCGGAGTAGAACAAATCCTTGGGAAGGAGGTTCTTGAGGGTCGAGGTAAATGGTTCGACGAGGAGTGTAAGCTGGTCAATGATACGAAGAATGAAGCTTACAGAAACATGATAAATAAGCGCTTCACCAGGAGAGCCATGGAGGAATATAGAAATAAAAGAAGGCTGGAGAAGAAACTCCTCAGGAATAAGAAGAGAGCATGGGAGAGAAAGGAGCTGGAGGATATAGAGGCCCATTGGAGTGTAAAAGAAAGCAGGAAATTCTTCCAGGTCAATAGTGGATGTGCTTTTAAGCCTAGGATACAAACATGCAAGAAAGAAGGTGGAACACTGCTTACTGATAAGTCGGATATATTGGATCAGTGGGCTAGGCATTTCCGTTTGTTATTAAATGAGGAAGCGGTTATAGAAGATATAGAGGCAGGCGACATTGCTGTAGAAGATGTGCCTTACAATCTTGGAGATATCGAGCCCCCGGACCTTGAGGAAGTAATGGATGCAATCCTTCACATGAAAAACAATAAGGCGCCGGGACCGGATGAATTGCCAGCCGAGCTCTTAAAGTATGAGGGAGATGAGTTGCATAGAGCACTGTCCGATATGGTCCTGACAATTTGGGATCAGGAAAGAGTGCCACGACAGTGGACTAATGCTATAATATGTCCACTACATAAGAAAGGAGACCAACTTGATTGCACGAATTACCGTGGCATAGCTCTGTTGTCTTGTGCCTACAAAATCCTCTTAAATATCCTTTTCAGCAGACTTACCCGATTTCATCAGGGAATGCTTACCCAGGGAAATCAGGAAATATCAAGCTGGCTTCCGGAAAGGCAGATCCACTGTTGATCAAGTGTTCGCCGTTAGGACAATTTTGGAACGGAGTCATGAATATAAAATTCCTACACACCACCTGTTTGGCGACTTTAAGAGTGCATATGACAGCATCAAACGACCTAAGCTGTATGAGGCATTGGGAAAAATGGGTATCCCATGCAAACTGATACGTCTCGTGAAGTTAACAATGAAAGATGTAAAGTGTCAGGTACGGATTCAATCTGACTGCTCTGAAGCATTTCCCTCCAACAAAGGATTAAGACAGAGTGATGGACTGGCGTGTCTTCTCTTCAATCTTGCACTGGAGAAGGTTGTGTGGGATTCAGGAATCCAGACGATATTCACCCGTACTTTACAGATATTGGGATATGCTGACGATTTGGATATCGTAGCCAGGACACGATCGGCATTGGTAAAGGCCTTTAAGAAACTAATGGACGCTGCTTCAGCCATGGGATTGGCTATAAACGTGGGAAAAACGAAATACATGCATACAGGGACTGGTGGCGACGAGGAACTGAGTGTTGGCCCTTATAAGTTCCAAAGGATGAAGTTACATATTTGGGATGTCTAGTAACTGCAATAAATGATGTCTCTGCTGAGATAAAGAAAAGGCTGGTGGCAGCAAATAGAGCATATTTTGCCTTACTGAAAACTCTCCGCAGCAGATCCATTACCAGGGGCACTAAACTGGTCATATACAAGACGCTTATACGCCCGGTTCTTACCTATGCTTCCCAATCCTGGAACATCTCAAGAAGTGACGAAAAAAATCTTCTGATTTTCCAAAGGAAAATCTTATGTCGAATAGTTAGCCCTGTGAGAGATGGAGATAGATGGAGGATTAGGATGAACCAAGAGCTTTATGACCTATACGGGGATATGAACATTGTAAAGTTTATTAAGCTGGGGAGGCTTGGTTGGGCTGGACACATCGCTAGGACAAAAGCGGAAGAAATTCCTAAAAAAGTGGTGGACACCGCCCTTCATGGTACATGACGGCCTGGTAGGCCAAGGCTTCGATGGGTTGATGGAGTGGCAGCGGACGCACGGAGCCTCCTACGGATCAGAGGCTGGAGAGCGGCAGCACAAAATCGGGCCGAATGGCGGCGGCTCATTGAGGATGCCAAGACCCACCCAGGGTTGTAGATAGATAGATAGATATTAATTTTGTACAGAATGATACTTGCGTCAAACCTCATAGTTGTTGAGATATTCACAAAACACTGAAAAACAAAATTAGTTATTGTCCTTCTTTCCTTCCCCACATAAAAACTTGACCCTGGAATCTTCGAAAATTTTTACCAGCTTTTAGGAGAAGGGTCGTGATAACCGTTTGTCGAAATTTAACTTTTTTTTTTTTTGATGTTCTGGCTACTTAGTACAGTTACTGTAATAAATAGGTAGATATATATATATATATATATATATATATATATATATATATATATATATATATATATATATATATTTTTTTTTTTTTTTTTTTCAAAAACGTCCCAATATTTTGTAGGCCACTATAACCATTTGATTGTACTCATCTTTATTAACCATTAATGTGAAAATCAGCCGGGAGTTCATCATAAGTTTTCACAACGTCGTTCTGACATGTTGGGGTTGTAGGTCATGCCAAACGTCCCAATTCCAGGAATTTTAATTACTCAAATATTTTAATAATAACTCTTAATGGGTGAACAATATAAACAAAAATATAACAATGTGCAACCTCCCAACCACACTTACACTTGACTTTAATCCAATTATGGACTACATGTTATAAGCATGATTAAATAAAGTAAGGGTGTTAAAATTTAATATAATTGATGTCTGATGATCGTACCTTAGTATATCCAATTTCAAATATAAAAATAACCTTATTCTATCTTGTGATTCAAATTGATTTACAAATTAATAAATTGACTCAAACTAATTAGGGTTATAATTCATAAAATGTTAAATTAAATATGACTAATACCACATAGAATGTGAATTTGTTACAGTGTATGAAATTAATAGTGTTTGTCTTACAGATGGCTTACTAGCCGAAACGTAGCCGATGTAGATGTAAAAGTGAAATAAATGTGGTGAAGTAAAAACACAGCTTTATTTTATATTATTATCCAGTATAATATTTGCCCACTTGCTTCTATATGCAGAGAAAACCATAAAGAACTACCAATGTAGCTTCATGAGAGGTAAATCAATGACTTATTAGATCTTCACACTAAGATTATTTCTGGAAAAAGATGTTGGAATATGGAATAAGTACACACCATTTATCTGTAGACTTTCAAACTGCGTATGACTCTATAAATAGAGAGATGACGGAGATGAATATACTGCCCAAACTGATCAGTGTGGTAAGAATAGCCATCTCCAACTCTAAATGTCAAATTAGAAATACATTAGTCAATACAATTAGTCCAATATATCAGATACCATTCGAACAAAGAATGGACCTAAGGAGACTCCTTGACATGTCCTCTATTCAACATAGGTCATATTATTGAATTGCAGTCTAGAAGCCAGGATGCAATAAGTTAATTTATTAAGAACTGGAAGAAATGTATATATGATGGAGTGTTTAATAGTATTAAGTACTAAAAAATTAAAAATATCATTATCAGAAAATACATAACTCAGCAATAGCTGTTAAATTTATTTATATAAATGGACAATTGAGTTATAAAGTAAACCTTATTAAAAACTCAAAATATGATTATAATTTACATACAGGCATACACCTGCAAAATTCAAAATGCTAAGTTCATGATAAACTATCAAAGTATGGGGACAATTTTTTATTTAAATAAAACTTATCAACAGTAAAATACTAAAATTTATTGAAAATAATTGCACCAAATATATGTTGCTATAGAAATATAAAATCAATATTTAGACACAATAACAATAATATATACTTAATAATAATATATCACAATAACAAGAGCAGAAGTATTTTTTGTTTTTTTAATTTATCAAGGTAAAATTTACAATTTTAAAAACTTCTCTATTAATTACCTCAGGGGCCATCCAATAAGGTGTTCCTATAAACGATTTTCGCTTGTTAATGGTAGCTGTTATTTGGGCAGACACACCAAAGTCAGCTAATTTCACATCTCCATTGTCAGTAAGTAGAATATTGGCACCCTAATTACAAAATTTACAATAATTATGAATAAAAAAAAATGATTACCTAAAACTAAGTATTAATTATTAACATCATAATAATTACAATAGGTATTTACTGTGAAAAATGAAACAGTAAAGATTCATAAACTTTTTTTTTTTCAATTTTTATGGAAGCGACAATTATAAAAATTACAATTAATGTCAAGTAAGCAGCATAACAGTGAAACTCCAGTTTAATATATTTGAGGTCAAAATATAAGATGTGATCTCCCGTTTTCACAACCAATCTTTTCATTTAACAAAATGTTACCCATATTGTAGAGAACCAATACTGAAGGCTACCCACACCTTATCTTCTGACCTCTACAACAATACCATTTTGGTATTATTTTATTCTCATGTTTTGGGCAGTAATAGTGGGTTAATTAAATTACATTGCTCTACAAAGTACTAGGATACAAATTATCGGGATTCTACTATATACAAAAACATAAATATGTAACAAAGGATAAAAGTTCCACTATAATTCATGTAATGCAAAAAAATATATTTTGGAAGATAAAACAAGCAATAATCCAGAAACATTAGAGTCAAAATCTAAAATCACCTTGATATCCCTATGCATTTTTCCCATACCATGAAGGTAAGCAAGTCCATGGAGTGTTTCCTTACACATGTAAGATATTTGAAGTTCTGTTAATGGGCCAGTTACTATTGAGGAAAAAAAAATAGATCAACGTTACCAATTACGTAATTACATTGAGTAATTTTCAAAGATATAGTTATAGGACATTTATATCTTACTGTGATATATATCTTGTAATGAACCTCCACCACAATATTCCATACATATCCACAGCTTATCCCTCCTTAAATAGCTCCCATAATAAGCAATAATGTTTTGGTGTCTACAATCTTTCATCATTAATATTTCTTGCTGTATAATTGCAAAATCATCACCTATAGGAAAGAAACATTAAATAGTAATTTGATTCCAACAATTACAATACTTAGAATCAGGCCTTATGTTCCACAAAGAATCATAGATAATATTACTCTCAGGATATTGTATATTGATGCATTAATATATAATTTATTATACAGGGTGTCCCAAAAGTAGAGGGAAATATTTATAGGAGTGACAGCAGTCCTCAAAAGATACAAAAAAGTTTATATAAATAACGGGCCAATTTTCAGAAGGAAAGTAGAAAATCAAAGTTTTGTGTTTTTTTTAAGGAAGTCATGCTTTTTATTGGATAGGAAGCGATAACTAAATAATATTTAATTTAATTAATTGAAAATTGCTTTACTGTAAACTAGACAAAATTTACTTCAAATGAAAATAGAGTTTATCATTGTTAAAATCATTTGAAGAGGATATTAGAACGGCTAAACTAAGCGAAGTTCTCTTTTTAAAAAAAATCATAAATTATTCGGTATTTTTTATTATCATCATCCAACTATGCAACAGATATCCCACTTTTAGAAAAAAAATTTCTCGTTTAACCAGCTTTACATTGATATTAATTAAATGGAGGTTTGTTAGGAAAAAAATTGAGATTCATCTCAAGTTTTGTAAAAACATTATGTGATTTTTCATCCTGTCCCTTAAAAGTACCCGTGTTTTCAGCAAAAATGACTACTATTAATTGTTGAAAAGCTTTTATTTCATGTTTTTTCATAATTTTGTATGCATTATAACATAACATAATTGTCTAAATATACTTTAATTTATAAAAAAAAAAACTTTAAAAATAATGATTTTTCAAATATTTTTCAGGTAAATTGGTTAAGAAACTGTTTTTGCACCCTATAACTATTATAAAAATTGATCCGTACTTATAAGTGAAAAACTAAATGTTTCTAGTCCTAAAATTTAAGTTTAAAATAAATAAACCTGTTGAATGCTTCAATTATCTTAATAAAAACATAAATTTCAGGACTAAAAAAATTTAGTTTATCACTGGTAAGTATAGATCATTAGCTTACTTTAACCATTCTAAAGTCCTCTTAAAATGGTTTTAATAATGACAAATTCTAAGGGATAAATTTACTTTTTGGGTTTTTTTAAGTGGGTAACATCTTTTGTGGGTAACATCAACTAAAAAATATTTCATTTAGGCAATTAACAATTAATTCACAATAAAACAAGATAACCCCATAATGCAAGTAGAGTTTGTTTCGTTACAACCATTCAAAGGGGACTTTTAAATGGCTAAACTATACCAAGTCCTGTTTTTCATAAAATGGATTATATTTTAAAAACTTCCTAGGTTAATAAGTTGTTTTTATGTCCATATTAATTAAGTTGAGGTTTGTTATTGAATAACTTGGGATTCATGCCTCGTGTAAAAAAGTAATATGATGTGATATTTTTTCATCCCAGAGGAGTAGCTGTGTTATTAGCAAAGATAGCATTAAATTCTTTTTAACTACAGGTTCCCTTTGAATGGTTTTATTATAGACAAATTATTCATCAATTTAAAGGAAATTTTATCTAATTAACAATGAGTCAAATGATAATTATCTAAAATAAATATAATTTAGTTATCACTTAATATTCAACAAAAAACATTACTTGTATTTCCTGCAAAAAATCAAACTATGGTTTATATAAACTTTTCTGTAGCTATTTCGGTCTGCTATCATCTCTTTAAATATTTGCCTCTCTGTATGGTATGGGGTTTCCCTTTATGTATGTATGACACCCTTGACTTTACTTTAGTTCACCCAGAATAAGTTACCTGAGAGTAAACTCATGCAGCATTAAGTTTAAAATAATATTTTATTCTTATCCTTATCCTCCAATATTACCTTATAATCTATATAAACTGCTGGACAAAATGAAATGGTCGCCTACAAATTTTGGTATAATTATTTGATAATGAACAATAAATATTTCTCTGGTACCAGAGTGGAATTAGTGTAATATGTTATCAATTTTATACTCAAACTGTAAATATTAACAACTCCTTTAGATTAAAAAGATTATCTCTCTTCTCTACAATAGATGAAGTTATTGTATTTTAACATGTTTAAACCATTTTGTAAGCAACAGTTTTTGCTTTTACTTATGAAATAATTTAGGACATTTTGATGGCAAACAGAACGGAAATGATCAAAGAGGAATCAATCCGTATTCTTACTTAAATGGATGGTTTTTCACGAAGGCAAGAGCGGTCACAATCCATAATTTCCAGAGCAATTATTAGTATCATGAAACTGCATGGCATAGCAGGAGATGGGGGCAAGGTCGTCTAAGGTCAACTTCCTGGTATGATGACAGATTGTTATGAATTCATGCTTTTTGAGATTGTCATTCTACAAGAAACAGTCTGCGTTGTCTCCCCCAGCATAATCTGTATTTTCTTATTTTTCTTCCTCACTACTGAATGTAGGGAAGCATTGAATTCGTGCGAGGTTAAAAAAAAAATTTGTGGTCAGAATCGGAAATTTCCACTAGCGTTTTACATTCCAGACATCAAGGATCAAATTTGGTTCGGTGTCTGTCTGTAGTCAAATCGATGTGATGGGCATATGACCTAATACTGTTTATCTGATTTTCATGAAATTTTCAGGGACAGTGCGAGTTGGTGTCTAGATGGCCACATATCAATTTTATTAAATTCTAATCAGCACTTTCACTTACACAAGTGCAAACGCATTTTTGTAGATATGCCAATATTTCAGAAAAGGCTCGTTCGATTTGCCCTAAAGTTGGATAAGAGGTAGGTATTTGTGAAAAAATAGCGTAGGATCAATTTGATTGAATTCTGTCCATTGATTTCTCTTATATATGCGCAAACGTGTTTTCCTTAATATGTCTATATCTCTAAAACCGCAAGTTCGATTTGGCTCAAACATGGAGGGAATTTGGAGATGAGTCAACATAAAATGAAACAGGCATCAATTTTATCAAATTCTATCTAATACTCCAAAAAAATAAAATTTCGCTTTCAGATCAGAATATGTTTTATTTGATATGCCTATAGGTTGAAAAAGGTGCATTCGATTTGATCCAAACTTAATGGAATTTGGAGAACAGTACAGAAATTACTTAGTAACAATTTCATTGAATTCCATTCAATAATTAAAATTAATATAAATAATTATTAACAATATAATGACTGTGTAATGTGAAAGGCACTGATCATATGGAGTGGGAGTTAGGTTATTACAATATTGTCATGGGGTTATAAAATTTTAGGTTTTATTGGAAAAGTTAATTTATATTGTATTCTTTGGTCGATTACAAATGTTACTGGCATGACACTTATTGCTGTTACATAGATTTCGTGTAATTTTCAGTAAATTTAAAGTAATTTTTACTCTGAATTTGTAAAATAAAAAATAAAAGTCATATTTGTGATTGTGTTTATTTCCATTGAAGTTCAAACAGCTCGTTGTAGTCTCGATTTTCTCCTTAAATATCAAAATTGCGTTAACTGCACTCATATTTTTATATTCCAGCTTAATTAATTTTTTTTCTGACTTAAGAAAAGTATTGGTCTCATTAACTCCGACCAAACAAAAATTTGAATTTTTCCTATGGATTTTTTGGTACATCCACTTTAGGAGTGAAAACATATCTGCTAAGTATAAATCACTACTGTTAGTGCAAAGGTCGTTTGTAAAAGTTTTCAATTTTTATTCTATTTTTGACATTATGTAGTATGCAATAGATATAACTAGTGTACTACTATGGAAAATAGCAGAGGGCAATAAAATTATACTAATCAATCATACAGGAATAATTATTTTTTTTGCTTTTCTGTAAAACACTCAATTTTTAGATACGTCATTTGCACTAACAGTAGAGAAATATCTATTCTGTATGCACTAGAATTTTTTTTTTAATTACAAGTTATCAAATATGCAATTTGCAAATGAGGAACTTTTTCGCATTTTAGTATTTGCTGATAAACAAAACTCATGGATATCAAGCCCGTATATAGGGATTATTGAATTCCCGAAAATGGCTTCTTCCGGAGAGTTTATTCTCATAAGAAAATTTGTAGACCTTTTAATATAGATATTTTTTAGCAAATGAAAACTTTGAGGAAGCTTTACTGACCTTACTTGGCATATTTTTTTTTTTTGTCACACAAAAATTCCAAAAAAATGCATGTTTTCCTTCCTTCCTTAATTTACTTTCTCTTTTATTAAACTATTTTATCATATTCTTATCATTTTATCATATAGAATTCTTTTTAAAATGTCCATTAAAATCCAGTAAAAATTAAAATATTGAATTGATCCTTTAATTTTGTTTGGCAGTGTATATTTCTGCAAATATTATGTAAATAATATTGGAGGTTAATGAAAAATCATCATTAGTTTCACCTTCGTCTGCACGAGTTCCCATTGGACTGCCAACTAACTATGGGTAAATATTCAACACATTAATACTTGAATTAAATATCTAAATACCTGGTTCCAGTTTAATAACCTTGATGGCAGCTAAATCATTGATAGAAAGTCTTTTAGCCTGAAAAAAAGTATAAATTAATATTAGAAAACATTAATTTTGTTACTTTGTTTGTTTAAAACTTCTAAATCCATGTTAGCTAAGACATGTATACAATACCAGAAAATTTAGAGACAGAATAAAATTATTAAAACTGTAGAGTGTTAATAGATGAGAGCTCAAACCTTATGAGCACATATTTCCAAAAATGTAATGTACTTCGATCTTTTTATTTTCACTTACCTATATATGCAATATATAGTAAGGGTAAGTATTGCGATCGTGAAAATTTTCGACAAAAAATGAGTTAGGTAGCTTACTGGATTAGTTTCTTCAAGCTTGATCAAATGGTATAATGCCACGAATATGTCAAATATGGTACCAAGATGTTTTGAGGTTGCAATATGTTATAAATTACAGTAAAAGGATCATTAGCAATGAAATTAAAGTTGTGAAATTTAAGTGAGGAGGTGTTCAAATGTAAATACTGATTTATTTTCTATGAAATTAAATTATATTTCATAATAAGGAACTACAAAATTTTATTTCAATCCTTTAAAGGCTGTAGAAGAATATTTAATGATTTATACATCAGAAAAATCTGGATATATAACTATTTATCAGAGTATACAACAACATATGTAAAACTTGAATGGACAAATATGTCAACATGCACAAATAACTTTATATAGTTGGAAAGATCATTTCTATTTTAGTTCTCTGATCAGAAAATATTTGACTAGAAGACAGGTGAAATCAGTGTATATTTTGTCGTTGATATTTGATACTAGCTGTAATCCTTAACTTCCTTCACGCTTTAAATTTAACGTGATAATTTATTGAGTTTGAGTAGCCGGCATTTATTGTAATGCTATTGAAAGAAGTTAAGTATTTAAGTTATAATTTTGTTTATCAAAGTTGTTTTGGAAATAAAATTGTTTTTGTGCTATTCATGGTGTATCCATGAATAAATCATGTTTTCCCGATTGCCACATTAAAAGTAGCAAAAGTGTAAATTTGAATGTGAATCTTTTTAGTCATTAGACGACGCAGTTAGGTGAGACAGTGCTAATGGAGGCCCCAATAATTCCTTGTATTTTACCGTTGCTTTTTTTATTTATCACTAAATACACATACCTACATACATACATTCAACTTAATTCTATTAATTTCCAAATAGCTGTTACTTAAATAATTAAATATTAAATGATTTTAGCATTAGATTAATAAATTTGTGAAAAAACATTTGGAAGCTGCAACAACTCCAAATGCGGGCCTCAGAGGTTGCAATACCCAACCTATGGTATATATAGAGTTATTGGAATGCATGACAACAAATATCTCAAAAGCAATTTATAATATGACAGCGAAAAAGATAATATACTTTTAATTGTTAATAGAAATTCTTTATTTTAATTAAAATAAAGTAGCAGGGTGATTCAGTTAGTAATACACTGTGCTCCAACATTAAAAAACAATACTTTCCTTTTATTAAGTGGTTTAGTACTTCACCTGAAAAATACATCACTTTAACAGAAATAACATATTTTATATGATGATGCAACTGAAATATTTTTATATATTATTTCTAAGGTGTTTTTTTGTCGGTACCTCATGTATTTGTTAAATTGGATAATGCTACAAAATGCCCAACGTGCGTAGCAAATAGAATAAACAGTAGAGCATGTGTTTTTTTATGTGCTTTCACTTCACTGAGGAAAGAAAAAAGTTAAAGCAATAATGTGGAATAAAAGTTACTCCTGAAAACTTAGTGAGCCATTTCACTAGCTTAAAAGAAGACTATCTTGTGCTCGGATAAAGAGCAATTATGATGATATTCGCCACAGCTATCTCAAGAAACGTTGAGAGTGCGAGAAAGGGCGAAAAGAGGTCATTAGTTCTTAAGAAAGAAGCAAAATAATCTCTGAAAATGGTTAGTGAAAAGAATACACAATCATGAGGCAGCAAACAGCTATTCCATATCCATGAAGTAAAGACTGTACTGTGGATGGTAAAAAAATAGGCAAAGATAGAGGGTTTTAGTGAATAAGAAATAATAGAAGAGGATAAGAAATATGCTGGGGTTTTTTTTTTTAAGATATCCTGTCATCTTAAAAGGAAAAAAGTGTAAGATGAGCTACATTTCAATTGATTATGATGCATAAATCATTGTTCTGTACAAGCTGACTCCTCCTTGCCCATTCCTCCATGTAGAACTTATTGTCCAGAAGTACCTTTTAGTCCTTCATCCAATGTCTTCATCAGGATATCTTTCCCAATGTGATATTTTTATAAATGGCTTTATATGAATTTTCTGATAATTGGGACATAAGTCCAAACTATCTCCGGTGGTGCTCTAAGCATTTCCTGCATAAATATTAAGGCCCCATTCACACTGAAGATGGATGACGCAAGATGCATGCATCCTGGAGCCTCCTTCCACCACTGGAGGCCCCACCTGACAGTGGGACGAAAGACAGGTTTTCATGGACATGGCCCTAGAATTTGTAAATTATGTCAGATTAATTTGATATTTAGTACCCTTTGTTTTCATGTGCCTTTTATAATGTCAAAATTGAAAAATTTCCACGAAAAACAGTAAATTCTGTTTTGTTTTTTTGTTTAAACCTGGGAATTTTTAAAACTGATAATAAATTAACTTCGACAATGATAAATAACTAGAAAACCTTATTTTCTATATGTTCAATACAATTGTTAAAACTAAATTTGAGAGCATGTCCAGTTATAAGAGATATTAGTACATACCTAGAAATTGTACGAATGTCCATACATATAAAAAGACTACAAATAGTTTTTAACTACCTTTAGGCGGATAATGGCTGTTAAAATTAATCAGTATTTCTCTTTAACAATTAATCCTAAAAAGTAAATAGAAATCAATTTTTCGGAGGAAATCAGAGCTTTTTTGAAATTCTAGTCTTAGTAAAAATTTGATGTTAAAATACTTTATTGCTAAAAAAAAAAAGGATTTTTTATTTTTCTCGGTAAGCGGAATGACAATAAAAAGTTCATAAAGCTTCAAGAAAAAATTATGAACCACCAGCTCAAACCAAGTAATTTTACAGAGTAGAATGATTGATTATTCATATTTTTAACTCGCATACTAAACTAAACAGAGATAATGGATATAAACATAAGGTGCAAGAGGCACGTGCATCTTTGGAGTGAAAGCCAATTTTCATCAAGATGCAAGACGCACATGCATCCTGCATACAGGATGCATGCATCTTGCATATTTCATCTTCGGTGTGAAAGTGGCTTATGTGGAAGCTTGGAAGTATTCCTCGCATGTTTGATCCTGTGATCAACCTATGATACTTTATTTCTATAGCTGGAACTTAACACTTATGTTCAGTTGTAAGAATCAAAGATTTGCTAACATAATCCGGTATCCAAAGGAATGTGATTTTATGGAGTACATTTTTAGACAGCTATGAAATTACTTTCTTTCATAAGACAAAAATTTAGGGAACTGGAATGTTTCTCTACTACCAGTATCCTATATATTAAATCAGTGTTCACTCTGTTGGTTTTACCACTTAGCAGGAGCAGATTAGATAGTAAACAGATTATAGTGCTACCAAGGGCACCGATGATTCCTGATCCATCCCTGGCAGGGTGTTTCTACAATTTATCCCAAATATGACCAGCTCACCAGTAAACACCGGAGTTGTATATATTAATTGATTCAGGGTGGTATGCATATATGTCATCAGAGTCCATTCCTTCAACCTCTTTTCTTCAAAGTGAAAACAGTCAGTGGAGATAAAGGTACACTACTTATTCCATAAACTCTCTTTATAATAACTACCACTTATATTTAACTTATAGGAAATGCTATTCCTCTGTCATTATTATACTTCTAAAATACAAAATATAGGGAATTTCTTGGTTCAAACTATTTTCCAAATACTTCGAGTGTACTAAAAACAAAAAACTTGCTTTACTTTTTTAGTTTGATTCATTAATATAGTGACAGTAGTAGAAGTAGGTAAACGATGTAATGGAACTGTTTCAATTTACAATAATGGTATAGTTTTATAACTATCTGTGGGTGACTCAATAAATATTTTACATTTCCTCACTTCACAAAATTTAGAAAGAGTGACCGTTCAGCAAATTAACAAGATACTAGCTCTAATAACCTAACACCTTTTTGTTTGATTATATATTGAATTGTTAGTGTCCACATGAAGTATGTCTATGATAATAATCAAGTAGAGGCCTAGGAGGTCTCGAAATCTTATTATTCTCATTTCTTAAAGAAGACGTCAGGTATTAGTACTGTGTCAACTACAAGGTTACTTTTATCCTAAAATCCAAATGTAACATGTTTTATGTTGGCTCAGGTATTTAGAATAAAATGACAATGATAATTAGAGCTAAGCTGTTATCCAAAAGGTGAAAATGATTAACAATGTCAATATTGGTCGAGAGAATGTGGTGACATGTTCTGACTACATTTCATTGTTTATTATATAGATCTAGATCAGCAAGCCTTAGCTCCACATCTCCCATACTGCTACTACTAATACTAGTAAACCATGGCACTACAGACCAGTGCAGTCTTTGGCCTCCTAAACTATCTTATGCAGTCTCACACCAGTTACGGGTACTCAGCAGGTCGAGGGCATCCCTTGCGAGAGAATCCTGCCATATTAAATAAATATATATATATACAAAATGTATTCTACAAATGTTATATACAAGATACTCTAAAAAAAAATTGGAGATCATATCAATACACTTATTACTGATGAAGACAATACAGTGGTCGGAGATTCACTGATATACTGGCAGTAATTACAATATAGAATAATAACACTAATGAATGTAACAACTATCAAGTTACAATATTTAAACAACGGACATTATATTAACACTGCAAAACACTCTACTTAGGGATATCTCAAACATGGAATGGGTGAAATAAGACTAAATTCATCTAATGAAAATAAATGGACTCTTTTAAGTATCTTCTAATTTATTATGATATTAGTTTAATAGATAAAAACAACTAGATTTTGAAATGTCAATCTAAAATCATAGAAAGGCTTCTATGAGATCCGATAGAGAACACTTAATAAATAACTGTTAAAAATCATTATTCAACTGGTTAAGTGTAAAAATCATATAACTTTAATAATGCACCTTGTAAACGTCTCCATAGGTTCCACTTCCAATCCTTTGAATCAATTCATACTCGTCCTGCGGATTTTTGCGACTGATATCCGACGACAAGGATGTTGAAGACGAATGAGCCATGATTTTAAGGCCAGATAATTTAGCTGTGGATGTTCAATTAATTACAGTAGGCAAATATATGAATGTAGCTGAGATGGACAAACATTTAGGTTGTAACTTTGACATTGTACTAGATAAAAGTACACATTAATAAAAACTAATTAACAAATGATAGTAAGGCCAATGAGCTTAATACTAATAAATGCCATGAAGGCAAGAAAAACATTTAAAATTCAATACATCGTTATCTAGTAAACGTATTATATTTATGTATGCATAGTACTTTATCAATAATCCATAGAGGATGTCTTCAAAAGTAGGTTAACCCATAGGACATTAGTTATCTTCTTTGTACATTTGTAAAAGCATTATTAGAAATGTCCCTAACAAGTAATTCAAGCATAATTTTGTTTTAAAGTTGCAGTGAAAAAATTAATATTGAAAATAGAACCTGGTGTTTGTTTTGTAACTATTGTTATGGCCGTGGATTGTCAAACCTCTTGGCCAGTTTTACCAGTATTTGTTTAAATAATGAATTTTGTTGTGATAGGTGTTTTGTTGGATATCGGTATAAATGTTGGCAAAATATTTTCTTATGAAACGTTTCTATAATTATACACCATTGTTAGTTAATTCTAGTGGTGAATGGGGTGATATTTTTCGGTAGGTTCGTGAATAAAATTTTGTAATGGCTGGAAATTTTTGGCAAAGTTCACATTAGTAAGTTTTCTTTCGGTATTGAAAATATATTTACTACAAATAACAGTGTTTACTGAAAATTTTGATATTAAAGCTTTTATTGAAAGTTATATCTTTATATTGGTTGATTAATTATTGTCATATTTTGCTTTGATTAGCCAACAGTGGGTGTTAGACAAGCAGGATCTCATCAGAGAAAGACAGCAGGATTTAAGTGTCCTCAGTGATGAAGAGTATCAGAAAATATTCATTTTCTTTTCAAATTGTACGTATTAACATTATTTGATATTTATTTACTTACTTAGCAAGTTTCATTTATAACCTGTTAGTCATTGAAAAATTTAAATGAAATGTTATCTTTGCAGTTATTCAAACCTTGGGAGAGCAGCTTAAATTGCGTCAACAAGTGATAGCTACTGCCACTGTATATTTTAAAAGATTTTATGCTCGCAATTCATTAAAGTGTATCGACCCTTTATTACTAGCTCCTACTTGTATTTTTCTAGCATCGAAAGTTGAGGAATTTGGAGTGATTTCAAACAGTAGATTAATAACAACCTGCCAAACTGTAGGTAGGCCACTTTTATAGTATCTCAATATTATTATTTATTTCTTAAATAAGCAAAAAGCTTTGATTGCTTAACATAATTATTAGGTCAGAGTGTATCAATGGTAAGATAGCATTTAGTAACAAAGTGATTATTAAATAATTATTATTTTATAAATACCTTTATGTTTATTGTATGTTTTCTGAAACATATTATTTTTTCCTTCTGATGGGTGTGATATTTAGATATTAAGAACTGTTTATGATTTTTAAACCATAATTTATGTAAATAATTTCATTGGAAAATAGATTTTAGAGGTCTGTGAAAGTTACCTTCATCTTAATTTGATTTGAATCAACACTGATAGTATTTTAATCTTTTATCTTATCTTTATTGCAAATCACAAGTGTAGTAGTGGTAGCAATAAATGTTGACCTTGTTGTAGTAGTATTTGATGTTCATACCAAAAATTAGAAGCAAAATATTTTATCATGGGTGATAAATATTCTGTAATAAATATAGGACGCAGTCTTTTTTAAATTTTTTTTTTTTTAACAGACTTTTGTCCTGAATATTTATCACCCATGATATGCAGAACAGTCGACTAACTTCCTTCAAGAATTCATCAAAACATTTTATTAAACATTTGTCATTATATTCGTAGGAATAAAAGACATTATGTTTATTCATTATATTCTAAGTGTATCTGTTTCATTAAATGATATTGCATTTTAATGATTTAAATTTTTTAATGTTTTTGTTTTAGTTAAAAATAAGTTCAGTTATGCTTATACCCAGGAATTCCCATATCGGACGAATCATATTCTAGAATGTGAATTTTATCTTTTGGAGAACTTAGACTGCTGTTTGATTGTTTATCAACCTTATAGACCATTACTTCAGCTTTTGGCTGATATTGGCAATGAAGACCAGTTGTTAGCTCTAGCATGGAGGGTTGTGAATGATTCTCTTCGAACTGATGTTTGTTTACTTTACCCTCCTTATCAGATTGCTATTGGTATGTAAATTAAACTAAGTATTATTTTGAGTTAATTGAGCTTACTATTTATTCATTGCAATTTTATGAAGATCTCTTAGTATAATAAAACATTTTCAGTGATGGCATAAAGTGCCATATTTAATTGAATATTGATTTTTCCCTATTTTAAAAATAATTTTCATGGAAAAATATGGGGAAAGAAATAATTAACTACTAATCAATAACAAAGTTCCTAATTTAGTATACATAGCTCAGAAAGAATCAATAAATTATTCTAGATGTACAACCAAACCTGTTCTAACCAGAGCAGGCAGATCGAGATCCCTTCCGTAGGTCTGTCTTGAACTAAATTGCTAGTTTTCAACTAGCACTGCTAGGCTCATGAAAGTTACAGCAGGCTATATTCTCGGTCACCATAGGCTCATGCAGTATTTACATAGTTTAATGCTTTACATTCTACAAGACTACATAACGTGGACAATAGAATGGCCCTGGCCCTTAAGGGACTGAGTCACTTTGGGTCACCTTTTTAGGTCCTAGATACCCAATCACATCAGCAATTTATAAAGCAGTCATCTTGGGTATCCTGAGATACACATTCCCTGCATGGAGTAAGAATCTTTTGCACCAACAGAAGAGAAGATTGGCAACAATTCATTGGATAGCTCTATTAATTCAAGACAATGTCTCATGAGGTGCTACAGACCTTAGCCAGAAGTATTCCAATTGATCTTCGACTGCATGAAGACTATTTCTAGCACAAGATAAAAAGAGAAGGCTTGGTGGATCTACCGACAAATCTCTGAGTGTGTTTCAGTGAAGACCCAAGCACAGAATTATCTGAGAGACCATTGAAGAATGGAACCAGTGATGGGTGAAATTCCAAAAGGATCTAACTTAAGAAAATACTTCCCCACCGTCGGTCAAGAATGGAAGCCATATTGGTCATTCCAGACTATTTGGTCTCACAATTCCTCAAGAGGCATGAGGGTTTCCAAGCAAAGTTTGTTAAACATGGAAAGAACATTGATCCCCTATGCCTTAGTTGTAGGGTATCAGATACTGCCATGCATATCTTGCTTGTCTGTACCGCCTATGAGATACTAAGGGTCAAGTTGCTGAGGGAGACAGGGCTCTATTTTCTATTGCAGCGTGATCTCCCTCAGCTACCTGTACTACAAGACCTTTGTGTGGAAAGAAGTAATTCGCCCAGCCCACTTATACTTGGTTGGAAGAGAAGAAAGAACACTAGTGAGGATATAAGAGGACGGTGAAGTTTAATAGCTAAAGCAAGAAGTGGAAGCTCTGTGCACAGCCAGAAAAGAGGAAAACATATATAGGAGGGTGGTCTGAAAAGTTTCTGACCTAGCAAAAATACAAGACATTTTTTCTTAAGTATATATTTTTTTCAACATAGTCTCCTTGTAACTCTACACACTTCTTCCAGCGATACTTCTATCTCTGTAACCCGTCCAAAAAGTACTCGTCGTTTTTCTCTGCAAAATAATTGTTCATGAAGGTGATTGCCTCTTCATTTGACAAAAATCTCTGCCCTCAGACCCCAATTTTTAGATACGGGAACAAAAAGAAGTCGCTTGCAGTTAGATCTGCAAAATAAGGCGGATGGTCAAGCAGTTCAAACTGTAATTCGTGGATTTTTCCATGGCAACCGCTGAGGTGTGAGACGCTGCGTTGTCTTGGTGAAACAGGATTTTCTTTTTCTGCAAATGTGGATGTTTTTCCGCAAGTTCAGCCTTCAGCTTGTCAAGTAATGATGCGTAGTATGCTCCTGTAATGGTCTTTCCTTTTTGAAGCTAGTCAATTAAAATGACTCCATGACTATCAAAAAAACAGTCGCCGTCACTTTCCCAGCTGAGAAAACAGTTTTTGCTTTTTTGTGAGCCGGTTCCCCCTTTGCAGTCCACTGTTTGGACTGTATTTTTGTATCCGGCGTATAATGGTGTATTCAAGTTTCATCTGCAGTAATTAATCGGCGGCAAAACTGAATTTTATTGCACCTATACTGCGCCAACAAAGCGTTGGACATGTTCATTCCAACATATTTTTGGTCTAATGTGAGCAAACGCGGCACCCAATGTGTGGACAGCTTTCTCATAACTAAATGTTGATTTAATATGTAACAAACACGTTCGTTTGACATATTCATAACCTCTACTATCTCTCTCATTTTAATTCGGCGGTCGTCTAGCACCATTTGGTGAACTTTTGCGATGTTTCCGTTGATAGTTGGGATTTAAAAAAAATCCAGTGCGTACTGAACATGAATATCACTACTGTTAGTGCAAAAGGTCGTATGTCAACATTGAGTGTTTTACAGGAAAGCACAAAAATTAATTGTTTCGTTATGATTCATTAGTATAATGTCATAATTTATTGTCCTCTGCTATTTTTTATCGTAGCGAAATGCTTATATCAGTTGCAGAATACAAAATGTCACCTTTAGCACAAATAGAATTAAAAGTTGAAAATGTTTATGTACGACCTTTTGCAGTAACAGTAGTAATATGTTCTTAATCGCCATGTTTTCACTCCACAGATGGATGGTACAAAACGTCTGTAAGAAACACTAAACTTTTTCTTTTTTCAGAGTTAACGAGGAGACCAATGCTTTTCTTCAGTTAAAACAAAACTATTTAACCTAAAATTTAAAAATATGTGTAAAAATCACACAGAAACTCGATACTATGTCGAGCGAGTTGAACTTCAATAGAAATAAACACAATCATAAATAACATTATTCTTTTCTACAAACTCAAAGTAAAAATTAATTTCAATTTATTGAAAATTACACTAAATCTAAGTAAGGGCAGTAAGTATATTGCCAGTAATGTTTGGAATCGACGAAACAATACAGTTTAAATTAATTCTTTGAATAAAACCTAAAATTTTATAACTCCCTAAAAATATCGTCTTAACCTAACTTCCACTCCTTATGACCAGTGCCAATCACCTATTTCACTGCCATTATATTGTTAACAATTATTTATATTAATTTTAATTATTAAATAGAATTCAATGAAATTCATATTAGGAAATTTCTATACTATTCTCCAAAATTCCTCCAAGTTTGGGTCAAATTTAATAGGCTTTTCAAATAATCCGTTTACTGATCCGAAAGCAAAAGTATTTTTTTTGCTGTTTTAGAGATACAGACATATCAAGGAAAACACGTTTGCGCATACATAAAAGAAATTAGTGGACAGAATTCAATAAAATTGACATTACGTTATTTTTTCACCATTACCTACCTTTTATCCAACTTTGAGCCAAATGGAACGAGGCCTTTCTGAAATATTGGCATATCTTAAAAAGTACGTTTGCGCGTGCATAAGCAGAAGTGCTGGATGAAATTTGAAAAAAATTGAAATGGGACTATCTAGGCACCAACCCACACAATCCCTGAAAATTGAATGAAAGATACTAGGTGGTATGCCTGTCACATCGATTTGACTACAGACACTGAACCAAATTTGATCCTTGATGTTTGAAACGTAACACACGAGTGAATATTTTCGATTCTGAGCACATTTTTTTTTTTAACCTCTCGCACGAACACAATGCTTCCATACCTTCGGTAGTTAGGAAGCAAAACATATAAAAAATGTTATTTATGTTTTTAATGAACCTTTTTTTTTTTTTTCCTACCCCCCAAGAAATTTCTTGATTACAAAATCAAAAATAGTTTTGTAGAATACGTTTAAAACTTTAATATAAATAAACAAAAAATATTTAACAATAAAATATAGTTTTCTTCACATGAATGAAAAATTAAGAATTTTATTTTTTATTTTCATTAAGTCCTTAAATTATCACTAAGAATTGGTCTACATCAATCAATTCATCACAAACAGAGCTGTAAAAATCAATTATCTTAGGAAGGGGATTAGGGGAGGATCTTCCTATTATTATAATATGATTGGGGGAACAAAACCACATATATATGTGGGAGTGTAAATACGAGTGTTTACTATAGTGGTTTTGTTCTCCTCTTCCTTGCTTTTTAGGTTACACGTGGTTTTTCCCAGGGGAGGAGACAAGGGAATTATGCAGAGTTAAAATTCCAACCACGCAACGGGATTTGAACTCATAATATTTTTGCGACTAAACTTCCATTATCAGTTTGCCGGGCAATGAGCGGTGCTGTGCACAGGCATTAGCCCACTCGGCCATCCCCCTACACAGTGGAACGAAAGCATCTTTTTGGGGATGAAATTCTGTAACAGCCAAACAATATGAGATAGGTGACAGTTGATAGTTGATATTTACACCTCTGTTTGTGATGAATCGATTGATATACGACACATGTACTGGTGCATAATAAAGTTTTGTTTCATTTTCCTCCTTTTTTTATTTATTTGTGTAAATATTAAAACTGAGACAGCCTTGTTGCCAACATTTTTCAGTCACTTGTACATTTAGAAATATTGTTTAGCTAATTTGTTAGTTATTTATTTAATTTTTCAGGTTCCCTTCACATTGCATGTGTTGTTCTGCAAAAGGATCTTAAGTCATGGTTTGCAGAACTGAACGTAGACATGGAGAAAATACAAGAAATAGTACGTTATATAGTTAGCCTTTTTGAGCTTTGGAAAACTTATGATGAAAAAAAGGATATTCAGGCTCTGTTGGCAAAAATGCCTAAGCCTAAGACTCAGCCTTCCAGATAACTAGGGGAGGAAATGTCGAGTGGTATCGACTAGTAAAATGTTTTCACCAAGAATCATAATTATCCGTTTCTAATTTGAACAATAGTGTACTTTTATATATACATAATAAGTCAATGCCTTAATGGAATTAAATATATAAAGAAGGAAAATTCAAGATTATCATTTTGTTAGACATTTTTTTAATACTTCTAAATATCTAATGACTGAAAAATAAAAAATAAAAAAGTTTAAAAAAAAATGTTCCTATAGTGATATTGAATTTCTTTTATATTTATATGCATTTCAAATTACTTAATATATAATGTAAAAATATGTTTTATTTATCAATAAAAAAAATATTAAAACCTGGTTTAACTAGCAATCTTTTTTTTAATATTTAATTTAGTTATAAACTCAAAATATATATATATATATATATATATATATATATATATATATATATATATATATATATATATATATATTTGGTTGTATATATTTTCCTTTTGTTTTTAATTTTAAGGTTCTTATTTAAAAAGTCATTTGATTCTAAATTCTTCATTTGTAGATTCCCTTTTCTACCTATCCTTAAATTATTTGATTTATTGGGAGTTTAATTATTTACTTTTTTATTTAATGTATTTGTTATTTGTAACTTCAGTATTGTAAACTTTATAAATGCTGCTTTTTTATTTCAATCCTACCTCTTTCATTTTTATTTTCACTTTTTAGTTTTGAGATTATCGTACTGAATTGTTAACTTACATTAAGTAGCCAAAACTAGTCCATTAATTTGATACTGATTGCACAGAATTTGTTGAGACTGAAGTGGCAAAAGACAGCTTTTCTTTAAGAATTTGATATATAATTTTTAAATGATTTATTTTATTATCACTTATAAAGATTCAGTTAGACTAATTTTCGTATTAGTGTAAGGATTGCAATTTCTATTAGCCTTTAAGGTGGGAAGAAACCCTGCATTGCTGTTGGCAATCAAACTTTTGTGGCTTCATGAGTTAATGGAATGATTATAATTGTCTAATTTAATCTATTAAAAATCTGGTTCGATGCACATATTTCTTTTTTTCAACAAGAGTGCCATCAGTCTGTAAAATATTCATAGGCTGGGAAGCTTTATATCGTGAGTATTTTTATTTGTCTAGGAACACCAAGATTAAAATATGCCATTAGTTTTTTTCTGTGAAAAAATCTGTAAGGCTCGTTTACTTTTTTGTAAATAGATAAAAAATAAACTTTATTCTGGAACAAATTTCCTTAGGAATAATAATTAATATAAATATACAATATCTTCAGTGACTATATAACAACAGAAAATAAAATAAAATTGAGAATAAACTGTAAATTGTAATGGAAAAGCATAAAACAAAAATTAAGACTAATAAAAAACAAAATGCTATAAACATTATGGGATTATTCTTAAAATTAAAATTTAATCAAAATTCAATTCATACAGTTTGTTTCATGATTGTAGAGTGCGCATTTAGATTGTGAGAAAAATGAGAACATGGAAGAGGTATGGCAAATATATATATATATATATATATATATATATATATATATATATATATATATATATATATATATATATATATATATATATATATATATATATATATATATATATATATATATATATCTGATTTCAGGGAATTCTTAAAGCAGTGGAATGAAAAAAAAAGGAATGTTCTAGTTCTATGGAGAGTAATACAAATGTCTGAAACATAGGTTCTTGTTTTCTGAGAATAGGCTTCAGTTTGGACTGCTGGAGATCATAAGTGAAAGTAAAAATTACAAACTATAAAAACAATTTTTCAGTACAATCATATTTTATTTTTCACGAATTACTATGATCCTGTAATAATGCATATTTTCAATATGTATCATGTATTGAACATCTCTACTTTTTTGATTTTATAACACCTTTAATTTGGTGGATTCCACATGGTAATAACAATAATTGTTTTTACTCTTTATTTCACTTATAAACATTTTGTTGCCAAAATTTTAACTGATCTATTACAAGGTATACCATGTTAAATTAGTGGTAACAGATTAAGGCTTTGGGAATCAAATGTGATTGACTGTAAGCATGATAATAATGATTGGGAATTTAAATCTTGGCATTGAAAAGTTAGAAAGATGAATAAAAATAATCTTGTATATCATATTTTTAACTAATAATTATTTCATAAACATGGTGTGACTACATTTGTTGATTTTTTTTATACTAATAGTTATTATTTTGTCAGCAAATGATAATGATACACGAAAGACAAACTTAAAAATGTTTTGTGGGAGTCATATGAATTTAATAAGTCACCATGTAAGTTAACCATGCATGAATGCATAACTAAGGTGGTTTTGATTAAATATAATATATCAATGATTCTTAATTTACAGTAGACAATGAAAACATTCTAACTCTATACAACAAAAAGTTTGTAAATTGTAAGGTAAAAAAGGCCAATAAAAGGGCATGAAACATTGCTGTATCAGTGTGGAATGGAATAATAGATCTTTTGGAAGGGAGAGTATTTATTTTATTTTTTTTACTTTCATTTATCCACCCATTCAATTACAACTATCAATAATCAGTATATGTGCTGGTAAAGTCATAAGAAAATAAAATAAAAAGGCTTGATAGGCATGAGGAAAAGCAATACCCTGATACCCCTTCCATGGCTTTTATTTATTGGACATTATTTAAGTAGATCTCTCTTTCAGTCGTATTCTGGAGTTCTGGGGCATACTAGCTGTGGCCATTTATTTTACCTGCTGGTTGGAGTGTTCATTTAACATATCATAAAATAGTAAATTCGTACCTGTTTATTGACCATCGGCGTGTAAAGTGTGGTTGCTCATGTACAATGGTACTTGAATGATTAGTCGTAGTCTGAAAAGTTTGAATTTTTTTTATGTATGTTTGTTTTGCAATTTCGTATTTCCAATTCGTATTCGAGTCCGTAAGTCCAACGAGGTTTTAATTTAATTATTTAATGGCTCGTCAGGAGCCAGAAGCGGCCCCTGGCCCTCTCAACTGTCCTTTTCCAATCGTTTCGGTCAGCAACATGTCTGCTGGATACTCCCACAATCATCAAGTCCTCAGCCGCAAAATCCTTCCACCTTCCCTTCGGTCTTCCACGTGATCTGACTCCATCCGGGGTTCTATTCACGGGACTCCATCCAACAGTTTTGCGACTATGTAGATGTAGGCGAAAATAGAGAATTACTGCAGAAAATTATCCAAATTTTTTACAGTTTTCGTCTGATCTACATAGTCGGAAAGATAAAAAACCGACCCTTCATTCCCGAAATAGAATAGGAAAACTGAAACAAAATTCTGAAAATTGTCTATATTATTTATCCATTTTTGCCAGCTCTACATAGTCGGAAACTGTTGGAACGATAAAAAGTGGTCGTTAAATCCTTTATATATTAAAGATATATGAAATATATCTGTCCTTCTCGCCTACCGACCTATTATCAGCCACAGAAAAACTTCAACAATATCTTATCCATAGGATTTGTGACTGGGCGAGAGCTAACAAGTTGAATTTGAATGCAGAAAAGACGAAGGCAATCTTAATAGGCTTTAATCACCTTCTTAAAACTGTTCCTAATATTTCAACTCTGTTAATACATGATAATCCCATCAAATTCTATCCCTCCATCAAAAACCTTGGAATGATCTTTGATCAAACGCTTTCTTGGAAAAATGATATATCCAACATCGCCCGTCGTACCATTTCCACCTTAAAACGTCTAAATTACTCCCGTCACCTATTTTCCTTTGAAAACCGTAGGCTCCTGGTAACTTCCTTAATTTTTCCCAATTTGACTATTGCTGTACGGTATATGGGGGCGTCTCTGGGGATCTCGAGGCGAAATTAACGATTCATCTTCGGGATCCCAAGGAACGCCTCTGTTTTCTGTTTCTATGCAGAGTTGAAGTGATTTTATCCTTCCTACCGTCGTAAGTATTTCCTGGCATCTTTCCTCTTTCAACTCATCCAATCTCACCGCCCTTTATACATCTCCGAGCTACTTCAATTCAAATCCTATGTTCGTTCCCGGTCTTCTGATTTATACATAAGGTCCCACCAAACCACTGCTTTCGATAGATCGTTCATTATCCGATCCTCATCCCTATGGAACTCCATCCTTCCCCACATCCGTCAATCCAAAACTCTTCCTACCTTTAAATCCTGTTTAATCATTTCTTATCCAGCCAGTCCTCATAAAATTGTAAATAGTTACTACTGTAAACTACTTTTACTTCATGTTTATTTCCAATATTTTATTATTAACTGATTTAAATTAGAAAGTAACTTATAATTTCTTTTATTTATTTTGACTATTTAAATAAAAAAAACTGTATTCTTGTTTATGTATCTCTGAGGCTCCTTAGCCCACATTTTTGTCTTTCTATGTTATTCTAAAGGGACTCGTCCCAGAAAAATTAAAACATTATTATTATTATTATTATCATTAAATCCCAAGATAAAAGAAGAAAAGCGAATGAAGATTGGGAAAATTTGTACCACTTCTCTTTCCAATGGCCTTCCTCTAAAAAGTTATAAAATGATTGGGACGGGGAAAAAACGATATTCCATTAACGAGACAAAAGAGGAAAAGTGTATGAAAATTGAGAAAATTTTGAATATCATTTCCCTATTACCCAATTACCTTTACATATCCGGAAAATTGTTAAGACGGTAAAAAAACCGATCCTTCATTCTCGAGATAAAATAGGAAAAGCGAAAGAAAATTAGAAAAATGTTAAACATTAAACCGACGGTATTATCATAGAAAGTGCTCCAAACAGCTAAAAGAAAAGAGAAAATGTTTTATACTTGTTTTCCTTTAAGCTTATCTCTAAACAGATGAAAATCGTGTGTATTTGATTTTTTGATTACAATTACGTGATTACGATTACAGTGATTTTGATTGCGTGATTATGGTTAAAGTGATTTTGATTACGATTACAGTGATTTCGATTACGTGATTACACGATTGTAATCATAATCAGATTTATGATTACGATTGTAATCAGGTAATCGTTCCATAATTTTGCTATATTTATGGTGCTATTGTATCAAGTATAAAATTGGCGTGGTCATAAAGTATTTTCGGTTGTAATCATGTAATCATTGATTACGATTTTGCCCATCTTTGAATATGAATACTTTGTGGAATGGCGTGTGTGTATGTGATGTTCAGTAATAGGGCTAGGATTGATCTCTGAGGTACCCCACCTAAAATTGATCGAATTGAGAATAGACATTGACTATTTCGAAAGGAGAAAAATCTGTCTGAGAGAAAGGAATGAAGAATTAAGTAGTAGTTATGTGGAA